AGTGCTTTGTTTAGGAGGTCTAGGCTGATGGATGGGTAGAATTCTTCTTTTTCGAAGCAGATGAAGTTGGAGTTCTATTTAATTTGTTGTCTATAGATCGAAACCAGTTGATAACGGCTGAGGTGTTTTTCCATAGGTTGAAGTTGCTTTTTCTCGCGATGTTGGTGTTGATGCGGTCGAGGATCTGTTTGTTCACTTTGCTTAGTTCGGGTTTCGTCGGGTTGATCAGGCGGCATGTCGGTTTGTTTGAGAAGTTCGGTTTGTTGTCTTTAAGTGTTATGAATGCGTCTTTGTTGGCTGTAGTGTCTACCCTGTCATCGATTTGAAGTTTTGTCGCGATGTCTTTCTTTGTTTTCTGGATTGCCTGCGTTTTTGTGGGGAGGGCTTTCTAGTAGAATTTTGTTACGTTTTTTTCTAGAAGGTCGTTGTATTCTGCGGGCTCGAGTAAATAATAAATTGGCCACCGTTACGATTATAAAAGCTGACGTTTCGAGCGTTAGCCCTTCGTTGGAGCGAATAGAGGAATTGTGGGTTGTGTGTGCTTTTAAAGACAGAAAATGGAGCTACGTGATTGGTGGGAACATAGCAAAGAGAAAGGCTCGCAATTTAAATCTATTCCTCAGTGGTTAGCGATAAAAAACTTCATATTTTAATCTTTAATAATTTTCATATCTTGTTAACACACTTCACTGAGAAAAGAGCTCAGACCCACGGGCAAATAGGCACTTGCATGCAATTTAAACGCTCCAGAGAATATATTTAGAAGAAGTGACTTGGAATAACATTTGACGATAAAAACTTGCGACAAAACGTTGCTTGATAACATTGTAACATTTAAAAACGATAAAAAGCTATAGAAAGCTAAGATCGACGACGTTTCGACGTTAACATACCGTCATTATCAAGTCAAGAATGTATAAAAATAAGTTCTATGAATACTAAAAACGAACAACAAGAGAAAGTACGTGCTAAACTTTTTGTTTAACCCGCAAATTATTTCTCTTATTGTTCGTTTTTAATATTTATAGAACTTATTTTTATGCATTCTTGACTTGATAATGACGTTATGTTAACGTCGAAACGTCGTCAATTTTAATAGCTTTTCATCGTTTTTAAATTTTACAATGTTATCAAGCAACGTTTTGTCGCAAGTTTTATCGCTAAGAAAATATATTTTCCGCACAAATTATGAAATTTTGCGAGTTAAACTAAAATTGTAAGAGATTCCTCAAAATTTCGAATTTTTCGAATAATTTGTATAAGTTCGAGTTTAATTGACTACGATTGAAAATCTGCCGGTATTTTTCCGTTAACTCCCACAACGTTTTTTATAGGACTTGGCCTTTTAAGGGGCGTTGAAACAATTGGCAATATTGGCTGCAATACATAGTAGTAGACCCTCTTTGGCTCCTCTTTGGAGTTCCAACCTAGATTTATTCAATACATCTTAAGTAATTATAATATCTTATCTCATGTCACTGATGCAGTATATGCTATTTACCGTTTCACAGCTCATACAGCGTCCTCCACATCTTCAGCAGACGTATCCTTGTGCACTTGTCCTTGCAACACTGTTTTAAAGGAATGGCAAAGTTCCTTGCCTCCATATCCTACTTCAAGCGCTGTTGGGTTTGATGGAAGCACTTCATCCAAAGA